TTGTTGCTTTTTTGTGTTTGCTTGTTGATTTTTTAGGGTTGTAGTACAGTGGTAAGCATTTCAGCCTAACAGGTGAGGTTGAAAGCTATTGTTTCTATTTGCTCTAAATTTTTCCAGAAAATCAGAAAAAATTCTAAGAACATTACTCTTTTAGAATATAATTCTAAAAGAATCTGACCCTGAAAATCACAAATTCCTTATTTTCCTATTTTATTTTATTTATTTTCTATTTTCATATTTTCAAAAAAATCCAAATTTTTTTGTAGAGATTTATTCTGATTTGATTTGATTTTTAGTTATATTTTCATAATTTTTAGATTTTATTTTATTTGGTTTTCTTTTTTTCCTATTCCTTTTCTAATTAGGGACATTGTTGGTATTTTTCAAATTGTTTAATGCATTGCTAAATTAGTTTTGTGATTTCTAATTCTTTGTTAATTTTCTCCTTTTTATAACATGACTGAACAAAGAACATTAAGAGAGCTTGTTGCTCCTGATTTTCATTATAATGGTTTAAGCATTGAATATACTGATGTTGACGTTTCTTTTGAATTGAAATCTGGTTTAGTACACTTGTTGTCAATGTTTAATGGATTTGCAGGTGAGGATCCGAATAAACATATGAAGGGATTTTAAATTGTGTGCTTTAAACCTTCCGAACCTTCACTAGAGGACCTTATCAAGCAAATGGCTATAAATGATCTTCAGTTTCAACAACAAACAGATTCCAGTCTTCAGGCTTTGCAGACACATATTGGACAGCTTGCCATTGTAGTGAATGCCGTGCAGCAAGCTCAAGAATCAAACCAACTACCCGCCCAAACAGTAGTGAATCCAAAAGAGTTATTGTCTGATTTAGTTGATGATATTTGTCCTGAGTTGTTATCTGATTTTCCATCTTTATTAGAATATGATGATACTTACTCTTATGATTTATGTACTAACACTAACGTTTGCTCTGTTTATGCTGAGATTAATGCTGCCTTGCAGGGTGATACTTTTCATGATGTCGTTTATGCAGCTGAAACTCTTGATATCCCGACTGCCCCGACCATGCCTTCCATTGAACAACCTCCTTCCTTAGAGCTTAAACCACTTTTGGACAATCTAAAATATGTCTATTTAGAGAGGAATGAAAAGTTACCTGTTATAATTTCTTCTAACATTGACTTTGATCAAAATAATAAACTTTTGCAGGTTTTGAAGAAACATAAGAAGGGAATTGGACGGACCTCGATGGAAGATGGAAGAAAAGCAGTGAGGCAATCCCTTAATCCTTTGATCTCTGATGTTGTGAAAAAGGATATCACATTTACGTGCCCATTCGACACTTTTATTTATCGAAGATTCTTTTTTGATCCTGGAATAAAATACGAAGGCACTAATAAATATTTCAAGATCAATGGATGCTACCCAAAGCTATTGTATGACATCCCCACTTTGGAAGAGGGGTCTGCAAAAGATCTCTCTTTAGAAAATGTTGCTTATGTGATCACCTATCCACCTTGACTACTCAGGTGTGTTCTTTCCTTTCTCTCACTCTTATTTTATATTTATGTTCTTTCATTGAGGACAATGTATATTTTAAGTGTGGGGAAGGGAACCATTTTTTATATATTTTATTTTCTTTGTTTTGTTTTAGTTTTGTTCTTAAATAAAAATAATAATTTTTTTTACTTTGAAACACAATGCATCTTTTGAAATTTTTAGGCTATAGATTAATTTAAGGTTAGATTGTGGAGACTTGGAAAAATTCACAAGATCGGTATTGTTTTAACACCTTAAGTCTCTCATCATTTAATAGCTCTTAAGTAGTTTATCTAACAGTCAGCACCATCTAGAAATCACACACTAAGTAATTAAGATGATTCAAATAAGTGAATGATCACGTGCTTAATCTAAATAGGAATCCGCCTTTTAAGTTAGGCAACCCTCATCCGGTCACTTAGGCTAACGGTTGTGAAACCTTAAAAAAAAGACTATTGTTGTTGCTATTTAATTGGTTAATTTGAAATTGTTGACAAGATATGGATCATAGTCACTAACAAGCTTATTTACCATGTGTGAATAGATAAATGGCTTAATGTGATTGCATTAGAATGAAAGAGAGCAAAAAGGAGGATGAGTAAGTTAGACTTAAGCATAATAACATGATTTGAATTGGTTTGTATAGGAGGGAGCTTTATGACCGCACAATTGCATATTTGTGTTCTTACGATATCCTTACTATGAAAAATTAGTACCTATCAATACAATCTTGACCGAAGAAGAGTTTACAGCCTAGAATGAGTATCTAAATGCTTTTGTTTTTCATGAGTCTTGATAATATTTTGCTCGGAGTGCAAAAGTTTAAGTGTGGGGAAATTTGATCAGTACATCTTCATGCACATTATTCCATTGTTATACTTAGGCATTCCTATAATTTATTTGAGTATTTTTACTATTTTAATGTGTTTTCATATTTAAGTTTGTTTTTTCCTTTATTATATTTTCGCAGCTTATTTTCAGCTTTAGCGGTTATTTGATATTTGTCCACTGTTTGAATCATAACTGAAGCTGAGAGAATCAAATTTATGCGTTCTAATAGGTGTTGGAAAGTTAAGACAGAGAGCTATAACTTTTATGTTTGAGGAAAAGGATGATTCAGAGTGTAGAAGGTCCAAATAATTCATTGAAGTCAGGACCCGAAATCTGCCGTTTGAAATATTTAGTTTTGGGCCGGTTTTTTTTTAAATATTTTTCGACCCAGTTGAGTTAAAACCAAAAGTATTGATACTTTCTTATACCTACCAGCCGTACTACTGTCCCTTAACCTTCTTTTCCCAATTTTATTTTATTTTGTACGATTTTCATGGAAAACTAATTCCCAAAATCCTCCTGCGTACGGGTTCCATCACTTTGAGATTATTATAATACCAATTTAATCCGATTTCTGTTCAATTCTTTTCTACGAAATTATTTGCTTAATTTGATTGCAATTGTTTGCTTAATTCGATTGTGTTCATAGGATAGAATTGATTAAATTCAATTGTATGCATGTTCCTAAATTTAATTGCGTGTTATCGTTTGCTTTATTCGTTAATTTGTCATATTCTTAACCATTTGCTTAATTCGGTAACAGGAACATAATTCGTATGACTTTGATAAGCGCTTGTCTGATTAATATCATAATCGAATATGATTGAAGTCGCTTAGGGATTGGTGTTATAATAGCCGATGATAAGTCGGAACTCGAATCAGTAGGATTAGCCGTTTTAGATTATCTGATAATCACTTTTTTTTAACTATTTTTTCTCTTATTTTATAAATCAAAACTCCCATAAACCATTTCTTTAGTTGGTTGAAATAATACAAGAATTCTTGTGGAACGATATTTGAGTTATCGTTATCGCTAACTATTTTTTTAAAATTACTCGTTTTTGATCTGTGCGCGACAGTGGATCAATTATCTACGACATAGAGAAAAAAAAGTCTACCTGTTCTCCGTTCACTAACTCGCTGCATAATAATTGAACATTTGTCTTATAGACTTGCGATCGGTCTGAAACAATACCCTTCTACGATAAAATATTCATTTTTAAATTTACCTTTTTAATTTGATTTATTTATGAAATAATTGCATCTTTGATAAAATGTTAATTTTAGTTAAGCCTTTCTAATTTACCTTACGGTCGACCCAAAACAAACCCTTATATGATAAAATGTTCATTTTTCTAAATTTACCTTTTCAATTCTTTTATTTATGAAATAGTTGAATCTTTGAATATTAATTTAAGTTAATATGTTACATCTAAACAAATAAATTAATATTCAGCATTATGTTATTTTTAAATAATTTAAAATTTTAAGTCAAATCGATTTAAATTTAAACACTTTTGGATATTTAGGGCTTGTTTGTTTTAGTTTTTTTAAATAAATTTTATAATATTATATATTTTTGTTGAAAAATATTTTACAAAAAGTTAAATAAAAAATTTTAAATGAAAAATTAATTTTAATAGTTATTTTTAAAATATTATTTTAAATATTTTATTATTCTGTTACAACTTTTTAGATATCAGGATTTAAATAAAAAAGATTTAAATTTTAAGTTATTTCAAATAGTTTTTAATAAAAATATTTTTTATATGCATATTTTTGAAAAATTTAAATTTAAAGTTATGTTTCAATATTCAATTACATTTTTTAAAAAATTATTAAATATTCCATTATTCATCTTTATATTTAAATATATTTATTTTTTATGTAAAATTTTAAAAGTCTTAGAGACAATTAACCGTGTAAATACAAAAGCATAAGATACATTCTACGCTCAATTTTAAAATATTTTTTAGGGGAGAAAAATATACTGAAATTATAAAATAATTATATACTGTCAACAAATTCACTTTAATATTTTTAAATTAATTATATGAAGGATAAATTTTTATTTGATACCTCATATACACACAATTACAAAAGTTAATATGTTGAGACGAAATAATTATAATTGATGATAAAAATATATCTTTTTATCTTAGGAGTACTTTTGCGTCATCAATATGTCATAATAATTCTTTATATGCATAATGCTATAAGTAACTATGCTAAAATAAAAAATATTTTTATCGTTCTTATAAAATGTAATAAATTATATTAAATACAATAATTTAATATTGATGGTACACATTAATTATTTATTTAAACATTGAATCAAAAGTGTAAGTTTATAAAAATATTCCAGTTAATTCTCCTATGCGTCCGTCTATGTCCGGATAAGTTCATAAAACATTGACCCGACTGAATCCACGTGGCATCTCCCAACATAATCCACGTGTTGATTCAGAAATCCTAATGATTTCGTAACGCAAAGAAGTAAAAAAGAAACAACGAGTTTTTATAGCGTTTTTGCCATTAATGTCTCTTTCATTTCACACCATATTCATATAGAAACGCATAGAAACAAAAGTTACTATAGAGTATAAATCTCTATACAGAGAAAGAAAAAAAAATTTAGTATTATGAATGGGTGGATCAAGTCATTACAATGCAAATCAAGAGCATTTGAAGATGTTTACCATCCATACCCGAAAATCCTCTTACAAAGTGCTAGTTGTAGAAAAAGCCATCAAAATATCAAAGATATCGTTGATATTCCAAAGCCAAAGCCCAAAAAACCCAAGTCCGTAACCACCGTCAAACCAGAAGCCCCCGCCATGAGCCGTTCCCGGAGCACCGTGGTAACTAGTTCATCTTCCCGTGCAATCACCGAACTTCCCGAGGGACATTCTTCACGGAACGTGGTTGAGATTATTTTCCAGACGAGTTGGGGTAACAAGGAGTTTCCGGGTCGGGTTGAAATGATATTCAAGGTGGAAAACGGAGCACGGACAATGTCGCGGTTTGAGGAGTTTCGTGAGGCGGTGAAAGCACGCGATGGTTCTGCTGTGGGGTTATCTGAGGGTAAGAATTGGGAGGAGAATGCGAGGTGTGTTGCTGATGGAAATGAAATGATGCAGTTTCATTGTTTGGGCCCTGCTGAAGATGGTGGATCTCACGGTGGTTGGTCTTTCCCGGAGCGGAAGGGATCGGCGATTCGGACTTTTTCCGGGAGTGGTCATGCTCATGAGAATGGCGGTGGAGGGGAGGGTAGATGGGCAATGCTGGTATGTCGGGTTATAGCGGGTCGGGTTTTGAAGCAACTCGGGTATTTGGACTCGTTGTTGGATAGGCGAGTGGGGTTTGACTCAGTGAGTGGGGATAATGGCGAGTTGTTGGTGTTTGACGCACGTGCCGTATTGCCGTGTTTTCTTATTATTTACCGGTTGTAGAAATAAAGAGAAATTATTGCATAACTCTTTATTAAATTGTTAATAAAAAACTATATATTTTTTCATTATTTGAGATTGTGAAATGCTTTTGTTGATTTGCATAACGGATTAATGGTGGCAGTTTTTGTGTGTGGGGGTTTTGGCTAATACTTTGGTGTAATGTAATTACGGAGAAATTGATTTTATATTATTCTTGCATGCTATGTAGTTAATTGTTACTATTATTATGTTGTGTTACATTCCAAAATGAATAGGAAAAGTAGAAGTGAGTATTTTTTAAAGTAAGGAATAAGATTAATGGAACTGAAAATTTGGTAATAGAGAGGAGGAAGTATAGCGTAAGTCACGCAATGTCTAAAATGTTAGCCTTTGCTTGTGTGATGATGAAATGAAATAGAAGTAACTATAAAGAGTCTTCGGCTTTGATTTGACCGGAATGCACGCTTCACTCCTGCCAGCACACACTTGCTATTTGCTATGTTGTTTATTTTCGAACTTTTCATTTCTAAAAAAATCTTCTACTATTGAGGATAAATGTTTCTCAAGATTGGTTGGTGGCGGGATCTTTAGATTTGAATTGTCAATTTGGAAGCATCATTTTCTCTTATTTTGGGTTTTCAGTTGGGGTAAATTCTAGGAGGGGAGTTATTTGGCAACTTGTTATCAATATGTCATAATAGGCTTTAGAACGGGCTAGTAAAAATCAATCTATTTAGGAAGGGTGATTTTTATCAAATTAGTTTTGTCGACACTTTTCCGTCTACTACCTTTCTTTTTTCAAAGTTCTATTAAGTATCATTTTCCATCTTAAATCTTTGCTAAAAAAATTTCTTTGGAGAGGGAGTGTAAAAGATAAAAAAAGAGTTAATTGGATTAGCTGGGATAAGATTCGTAGAGGCCTTGAAGTTGGGTGATTAGGTTTAAAGAATCTTAAAATTTTTAATTTGACTTTGTTGGAAAAGTGGTTATGGCGTCTTAGAAGTGAAAAATATAGTCTTTTATTTAAAGTTCTAACTCTTAAATATGAGTCTTTTCGATCGTCATATTAGAAATCTTTATTTTAGTTATTTTTAGTGGAGAGATATTAACTTGATGGAAATGGGGTTTGGAATGTGAACTCAAATTGATTTTCACATAGAGTGGAGGAAGTGAATGTGAATGAGTGGAGGTGGGTAGATGGGGTCTTAAATGTTTACTCGGGCGTATAAGTACATCTTAGAGGGCTTTGGGAGTGAGGACCTCATCTTAGTAAGAGAGTGTGGAATAATTACATTCGTAAGAATGCGTCACTGTTTGTTTAGAGATTGTGTCAAAATAAATTAGTTACTAGAGATAACTTAGTCAAAAGAGGTGTGTAACACCCCAAAAATTTCTTTATCTTTTTCTTAATCTCTTGGCTTATGTTTCATATCATTTGCATCATCATTTGTGCATAACATTGATCCTAAATAGGGAATCAATGTATCTTGGTTAGTTCTCAAGAGGAAGAGTATGATCCTCAAAGCTCAAGCAAGGGTTTATTCTCAACCTTGTGGTATTCTTAGCCCCAAGGTCCTTTCATCATCAAGGTATATCACACAATCATTTGAATCAAGATTACAAACATTGGGCATGTCTCCTATTTTGGGAACAACTGGATTAGGGTTTTGGTCAAAGGGAATTTGTGGTTAGTTTCTTGAGCAAGATATGGTTCTATGTTTCGATACATATCTTGAGGGTTCCCTGCATGTGTTATATCTCATCACAAGTCATGACATGAGCTTCAATAAGTGAAAAGAGTGCTAGGGTTTCATCTGATAAAGAAAAGTCAATTGTGGCTCCATAAGGTCAAAGTCTTGGATTTCAAGGTCAATCAAGGGCATGCTATATCTTATCAAGTGTCTTCATGTGTTTGTAACAAGAAGAATCAAAGAGAAACATAAAATCAGGAGATTGGTTAAACTAGGGTTTTGTTGAATTTTTCTAAGTGTGGAAAACCCTAATTTCTAGCCATCTTGCATCAATCATAACTTTTTCATCCTTGATCCAAATGGGGAAAACTTGTTATCAAATTAAAGAGGACATCATGAACTACAAATTTGTAGAAGAAATCAAGTCAAAAAGATTCATAGATTAATAGATATGTAGAACTAAAGTTGAGAAAATCAAGGTTTTGTGATTTCAACACTTAGAATTTTTTCTAAGTATAGAAATTAAGCTGGAGGAGCATGTTTTCAAGCCCATCTTTCATGGTGATCCAAGCTTCAAATGAATTTTCCTCCAACATGAAAGTTGTAGAGAATTTTCCAAGCTTTCTTTTTTAGTACTAGAACTCCTCCATTGGATGTGTAATACTCAAGTTATGATGTCTCCAAGTTAGGGTTTCAAAGATGTCAAGTTGGGCAAGTTTCTAGACAGATTTTTGGACCAATCTTCCATGTGATTTTTCATCAAGTGCCTAGCTCCAAATCAATTTCCTTTGAACATGAAAGTTGTAGATATTTCTTCAAGCTTTCCATCTATTATAAGAACTCTTTCATTGAATCAAAAATCCTCAAGATATGATGTCTCAAAGTTGGTATTATCAATTTGTCAAAAGTGATTCATAACTTAGAAATTTTCATGTGCCTTAGACAAATGTGTGGACATACTTTATTGGCCATCTTTCACAATGATTCAAGCCTCATATTAACTTGATTTCTAAATGATATTTGTTCATTTTTCTCCACACTTTCCTTTGATAACAAGAGTGTAGCAAATGGAGCCAAATTCACTAAGTTGTAATGAATAAAAGTGGACCACATGAACATGGTGGACAAGTATTTCAACTTTCCCATCTTTGACATGTTCATGATGCCTTTTGTCTTGAAGCATCTTTATCAGCAAATCACACATATAATCCACTCTTTTTCATCACCAAAACTTTACTAAAATGAGCCAAGCACACACACACACACACACACATGTATCATGCACCATATTTGGAGTGTTTGCACAAAATTGGAAAGATTTGTACAAAAAAACTTGCACCTCATTTCACTACCTCTCACATACTATTCCACTCACACCTCCCACAACTTTCATTATTGCTCATTACCACAACAAATATCACAATAACATGGTCAAACCTGTACCATTCTCCCATGCTCTTTTTATTCAAAAAAACTTTAAACTAACTCATAAGCCCATAACAAAATTTCAATCCATCATAAATAAGCCTTTAAAACTCTAAAACGTGAGAAGAGGCTTCATTTTTTGGTAAGTTCAGATCTAGAATACATCACACTCTCAAGCTCATCTCTCTCTTCGAGCCATCATTTTATTCAAGTCTTTCTTTCTTTTCTTGCATTATTGATCTTCATTGAGACACAAGGAAGTTAATAGAAGCATTTATTCAAAGCTTTTTGCACAAATTTGAAAGGAGCAGTGGACTTTCTCCACTTAGTAAGATCCTCTAACTTCATCTTTTCCATTTTAGAATCACATGATAGGTTTATACGTTGCATCTGGAAGGCCTAAAATGATGGCATTACTTGGTTGATAGGATGTGCATTGTTTACCATTTGTGAAATCCTTATTTTTCAGTCTTTGATGCCTCATGATTCGCTGTCGCGCATGGATAAAAAATGAGTAATTTTAAGAAAATAGTTAGCGGTAACGACAACTCGAGTATCGTTCTCACAAGGATTCTTGTATTATTTCAACCAACTAAAGAAAAGGTTTATGGGGGTTTTAAGTTTTGATTTATAAAATAAGAGAAAAATCAATTAAAATAAGTGATTATCAATTAAGTTAAAACGGCTAATCCTACTAATTCGAATTTCGACTTATCATCGGCTATTATAACACCAATCCCTAAGCGACTTCAATCCTATTCGATTATGATATTAATAAGACAAGCGCTTATCAAAATCATACAAATTATGTTCCTGTTACCGAATTAAGCAAACAGTTAAGAATATGACGAGTTAACGAATTAAGCAAACGATAACACGCAATTAAATTTAGGAACATGTATACAATCGAATTTAATCAATTCTATTCTATGAACACAATCGAATTAAGTAAACAATTGCAATCAAATTAAGCAAATGGTTTAATAGAAAAGAATTGAACAGAAATTGAATTAAATTGGTATTATAATAACCTCAAAATGATGGAACCCATAAGCAGCAGGATTTGCCTTAGGAATTAGTTTTCCATGAAAATCATACAAAACACAATGAAATTCGTAAAAAGAAGGTTATTCCTAGTAGAACGACTGCTACTAGGTATAGTGAAGCATCACAAAATCCAGTTCTAACCCAACTGGATCGAAAAACATAAAAAACCCGGCCCAAAACTAAATATTTCTTATGGCAAAATTCGGATCCTGACTTTAACGAATTTTTCGAGCCTTCTACATTCCGAATCAGCTTCTGACTAAAACATGAAAGTTATAGCTCTATGTTTTATCTTTCCAAAGCATATTAGAACGTGTCAATTCGGTTCTCGAAGCTTCAGTTATGATCCGAATAGTGGATAGATATCAAATAACTATTAATGCTGAAAATAAGCTGCGAAAATAGAATAAAGGTAAAAACAAACTTAAATATGAAAACACATTAAAATAGTAAAAATACTCAAATAAATCGTAGGAATGCCTAAGTATAATAATAGAAGAATGTGTATGAAGATGTACTGATCACCTCAATTTCGTGCAATTTTTATTTATGTTAGAGACATTGTTTTAAGATTTAACTGGTGCGTTGTTGCTCTACTCGTGGAGTACTTCAATGTGCTATTTTATTTTATCTAACTTGGTTGAAAATTGATGATGAAATTCGAGTTTAAATTTAGCAAAAAGCCAACGAGTTCATGCGTGTGTTAGGGTTTCCTGCATTTTGCTGTGTAATTGCATGAAGAAGATGAAGATGTGTCACGACAGGATTGGTTGTTTTTTTTTTATTTTGTCTTCTAGTGACTTAAACATATCGTGACCGATTGAGGCATGTTCACATGATTTTTTGTGCATTTTTTTC